GCTTGGTGTCGTCGGCAAATTTGCTGAGGGCCCTTCAATCCCACTGTCCATGTAACTACTCACTGTAATGAGTATGTAATGTATCTAAAATACACACTGAGGTAACAGAACTTTTTAAAAGGAGACCTCTGTAGATCAAATGTATCTAATTACTATTACTTCTTTTGATCAAAGTTAACCTCTGTCACTCCAAAGCAAAGCTGGAGAATGATTTTTTTTTTTTTGTTTCAGTACAGAAAATGAATTTGTCCAGGCTAGGAAATGTCTACAAAGATTTTTAGAAAGAACTGTTTGGAATTGAAAAAATTCTTCTAAAATGCAATGGATTCAATCTAAAATCACTGCAGATTTTGTACATAATACGAAACAAGACATTTTGGCATGCTCTTCATGTGGCTACAAACTGTACATAGTGGAATTTCATAGCCCCAAAGAAAAATGCTCTTCAGAACTCTGTTAATGCCTCTGAACATCATTCAGATTCCATGTACAAAACTACATAATTTAGAAACTTAATCTAGGGTTTTTTTAAACATGGCAGTATATTTGAAATATGGTATTAATTTATGTTTGCATCTCCAAAGAAAAATGTAGAAAGATAACTTAAACTAGAGAATTCATAAAAAAACTATATCAATTTAAAATTTTACTGCATAAAAATATGTACTTTTCAAATTATTTTAATAAATTAAATATCCCTAATATTTTTAATATATATCCCTGACTGTCTATAAAAGAGGGTTCTTGTTATAGAAAATAAATGGAACTCCGAAAGTACCCCCTTCATAAAACATATTTAACAATAATTATATTTTTTTCTTCTTCTTCAAGGAATGTAACAATATGTACAACTTCTCTATAGTACTATACTATCAAAATAGTACAGGTTAAGCGTAGCAGGGCTCTGTAACCATAAGATGGTAAAGTCACATTAAAGTGGAGGACAACTTCGGCCTCAGACGAATATTATCAGTGTGGAGCATCAGTTTCTGGATGGATCAGGTAAGATGGGGTCAATACAATCTTCTCTTCTACAGTAGATTTCACAAGAGGTAGAGTTCAAGTGAAAATGAAAGAAATTTGGAATAAGGTGCATGCTCAGTATTTTCAATTTGTGACTTGCTAAGGATATCAGATTTTATTGGAAAAGTCTAAGGATTCTTTCTTTTTCCTCTAAAGCAGATTTCTGTGATCAGTTTGTAATCTTTTTAATATGAATCTGAAATAGAGAATCAGAAAAAACAAAGTCATGTTTTAGGGTATTACATTTCTCAGCAGTAAGACGTAACTGCTTCAGCATTAGCCAAAATTTTGAGCTTCAAAACAGAATGAAGAAATCTCACATTTGCCAGTTTCCTTTTTAAAAGTTTATACCACCTCTCACCTCATTCAGAATTGCCCAAACTGCTGAATTCTGTATCACTGAAAGCCGGAATGATGAAATAGGGTTTAGGCTGGGGTCAACTGTTCCTTCAGCTACACCGTTTTCAAATTTCCCTGTAAGAGAAGGGAAAGTATATCCTCAATTAACTCCTGTTCAAAGAATTAAAGTACAAAACCTGTGCCCCAAAAAATGCATCTGTAATATCACAATTCACAGATAAATCACAATGAAATCTACTGCTGGTGGCTGTAGGATTGACTGGTATCATTCTCAAAACAATTTTGATATCAGATTCAGCTTTGCAACACCAAACAAGATAGGCCACAAAACTGATCAGAGGGCTGGAACACCTCTCCTATGCGGGAAGGCTGAAAGTGTTGGGGTTGTTCACTCTGAAGAAGGGAAGGCTCTGGGGTACCTTATTGAGGCTTTTCAGCACTTAAAAGGGGCTTATAAGAAAGATGGGGAGAGACTTTCTAGCAGGGCCTGTTGTGATAGGATATGGGGTAATGGTTTTAAACCAAAAGAGGGGAGATTCAGGCTGGATGTAAGGAAGAAATGTTTTGCAGTGAGGGTGGTAAAACACTGGAGCAGGTTGCCCAGATGGTGGTAGATGCACCATCTCCGGAGACACTCAAGGCCAGGCTGGATGTGCTTCTGGGCAACCTGATCTAGTTGAAGATGCTCCTGCTCATTGCAGGGGGTTGGACTAGATGACCTTTGAAGGTCCCTTCCAACCCAAACTATTCTGTGTTTCTAAGGTGGGGCACATCATCAGAGCACACCTATCCAAACAGCATTACATGTAAGAATAAAAAAACCTTAGAAATGTCTAAGGGTAGGAGCACCCAAAATGATTTTGGCACAGAGTTTTCATTTAATTTCATGGAACTAAACATGAAGCCCCTGGCTTATGTGTTTTCAAGAAGGCTTATGTGTTTTAAGGACAAGGGATATCATTCATGCTTTGCTTGATGTATTCCTATTTAGAGGATCTTCAATTATATTAGGAGGAATAAGAATCCAATCTAAAAGCCCACTTAGACTTTACACTTAAAACATAGACACAACAACTACTATTCACTAAGATGAAAAAGCTTGCTCTCATTGTAACAGGGATACCCAACCTATGTCCAGCAATTACATAAAATCCACGAGTAAAATTTCTTGTCCCTTACAACGGGTATCCTGGCACTCTTCCCAACAGCCACTCGGCTATGGAAATGTCAGTCTTGGCCCATGGCAAGATAGCTGACTGTCTGTAGGGCGAGTTCAAACCCAGGCCACACATACAGCTCACATGGAAGCACTTGTACCATCACAGGACAGCAGAGGTAATCTTACACAACCTGGAAATGCCTCTACATTAACCTTGTGACTGACCCTGGCAGAGAAGTTAGATGCAGCTGCACTGCAACTCGGGGTTACACATTTGATCTTAATGAAAATGTCTTAACTGTTGCAGTAGTAACAACACACGTTTCTTTCCACTGAGACGTACCTATCCTGAAGTAACCGTCCTCCAAGCGTTTGTCTTTGGTTTCTTTGCTTAATACCAGTTCTTCATTCTAGAACAGAAAAGCATAAATGCGATCATTTATTCTGACATGCCTTTGCCAGGGAAAGACAAAGGTGTGTGCACTCTTGTTATATATTCAGCATCCATCTTTTCTAAATAATTATGAACCAGGCTAGGATAATTATTTATAGCCTTAGACAAGCCAACACAAAGAAGGAAAAAGCAGCAGTGTTTCGGGACTGAGCGATACTTGGCTTCAAAGTAGAAAAAAGAAGTACTTTAAGTGCCCCACGTAACTCACATGGTAACTGCCATGTGAGCAGAATACATAGCAGACACTGGCAGATGCAGCATAAGAAAAGCAAAGGCAGGATCTTGCCTTCTTTTCTCCTATGGTTGAACCAGAGATTTCTCTTATGACAAATGAAACTTACAGCTTACTTTTTGCTGTAAGAATTTGGGTGAGATGAAAAGCCATCAACCTAGCAAGGGAAGCACTGCAGTTATTGCTGCCTCACTAAAAAGGGATGGCTATCAATAAGCATCTTTAATAAGCACAGAAAAAGTAAATTGCAGACTAGAGCTTCAAGAACAGCTGGAAAATTACAACCAGAATCACATGATCCAATACTAAAAGACCCACAATAAGAATTTCCTAGGAAGCAATTAAAAATGCTTGACAAAACAGGAGATTAAATCCATCAGCTTTTATTTCATTTTATTTCGTTTCTTTTCGTTTCATTTAATTTCATTTTATTTCATTTTATTTTATTAATTCCTACTTTTAAGGGCAGCTGCTTAAAAAGTGGTGGGGTTTTTTGGTTTCATGGGGGGGGTGTTGCAATTTTGTGGGATTTTTTGGTTGGTTGGTTTGGTTTTGGAATTTGGGTTTTGTTGGGTTTTTGGAGGGTTTTGAGTGTTTTAATTGAGTCCCAGACAAATCCAGGCTGGGGATGCTCTGTTTTCTAAGGGCTGTTTTTTGTTTTTCTGAGTTCTGCTTAGGGAGGGTTAGCGTTGAAGTACCTGAACAGGCTTCCAGTTCTTCTGAAGTCTACGGTGGAGAAATAGTTCTCTCAGGAGGGTACCTATCATTCTGCAGCCACTGTCCACATATTGGTGACATTATCTGCTGACACCAGTGGCTTAGGAAGGGGCCAGATGCAGAATTTCCTGTTTACTTCTCCACCAATTGTGTCAATAGCAACAGAAGCCCAATAGCACTCCATTCTTGAGGAATGCTCTGGTCTGAATGATACATCACAGCTGAGTGTAGCCAAAAAAGAGATGTTTGATGTGCATTTTTTCTCATGATCTTGTGTACTCTTGTGGTATTTTGGGCCCACATGAAATGAGAGCTGCTGCTGCCTTTGTGGTTGAGTATATTTTCAAAACTCTTGAGAAACAAAACCTATAAATCTTATAATATGATATAATATTCAACAACGTAACATCCCATATATCATGTTGTGTAATTAGAATCAACCAGACAAACTTCTTTTTAGGGGTGGGGTGGTCAGAATTTCCTATTTTTGCTCACTCCCAAAGAAGGCAGACTGCAAGACTGGAAAAGTGAACTTCTCCTTGCTCATCTACTTTAAAAAAAAAATGAATAAATAAAAAAATTCAAAATATGGTTATTTAAGGCAAGATACCTACACAAAGTGTATGGGACAAGAGAGGATTACTTTGCTATTTTCACAATAAATAAAAAATAAGATAATAAATACAGTAAAAAATAATAAATAAGAACTTGACTGAAGTAATACCCTATTCCTCTCACAAAGTTTTGTGATATAAATGGTTAGCTACAATATCTAGTTGAAGAAAAAGAACCCGTACCATCTGGCTTCCATCAAGAATATACTTTAGGTAGTGTAGTGCCCTGCCAAGCAAAAACTCAGACTGAGTTGTGGGGAAAAAAAAAATAAATTAAAAAATCAGTAATCAGGAGAAAGAAACACATTTGGTTTAAGAGTACAGCTATTTCAAGACCTAGTAAGGTTTGGATGTGTGTCAATTCCCGATCCAAGGCTTTTTTACTATCAAAAAGCAGACTGACTTAGCTTTCATGTTTTCCAAAATACATAGGAGAGGAAAGATCGTTGATTTGGGGTTTTTTTTAATAGTAGCAGTGAATTTTAAGAAAATGAGCTTTTTCACCTCCAGATTACCAATAGCACTTGTGGCAGACTGCACTCTGAATGAACATCTGAATAGTTACAATAGTTTTCAATACATAGATCCAATTAAAAAAAGAATAAATGAGAGCATCAGAGCATCAAGGTCCTACAGCTAAAGAAGTATTCAAGTCTCACCCTGTTAAAAACGTCAATAAAATTAGGAGGTTTTGCTTTTGTCTTATAATGGTGACAAATCAGTAAATTTGTACCTGAAAAGGCAAAACTTCCACAGTTGTGTTTAGAAGTATGTCTCCTGGATGCTCTGGATTGCCACTGTGAAACAAGTACCTATAAATGAAAAGGGGAAAATGAAACACTTCATATGCATCAGTCAGAATTAGCTGACTTACTATCTTATCTGTTAATAGTCACATCACAGATGTTATGATGCCAAACATAACTTTTATATTGCACCTATCTCAGCTGGCAATAAGAAATGAAAGATGGATTCACATACTACCATAACTGAAATGGCTGAAATTCTGCATTTTTTAAAGACTAGTTGGGCAATATCTTACTTAGAAAGGTAGTCTCCATAATTTGATCTTGACAGACTGCATTGTATGAAGCGACCAACTCTGTAGTCATTACTGCCTGGCATGCACTGCTGTCACCCCCAGAAGTGGGAGCCCTGCCTTCCTTCAGCCTCTCCTTATCACTCCCCACCACATGTCACCCCTCTTTGTGCCCACAGGAGGAACTCTACAGATCTATTCTGAACCAGTTCTGCGAACCCATCCAAGTCAACATTTTGCTAGGCCACTTTCCCCCAGGACCAGATCACCACCCTGGTTCGCTGTGAAGTCTCATTAATGACTGTGCCAGGAATTCCCAACCTGTATTCACACCCTTAACGCTACCTGAATTCAAACTTCTACTCCACAGACAGTTTATTTATTAAAAAACCAAACCAAACCCAAACAACCAAAAGCATATGGGTTTTATGCATATATATACACAGAAAAGGACTTTTGTATATATATACCTGTACAAAGCCCCTGTTACCCTCATTCATCTAATGAAAAGCATCTTTTTTTTTTAAATGGGACAGAGTAAACATGTTTAAAACCATACCAAAACCATCCCTATACGTAACAAGCAGTGAAGTGCAAGTGTTGAAATTCTATCTGCCTGCTTTCAAACAGCTTTTGCAGTACTGTTCATGTGTAAATAATGTTACAAAAGACAGTTTAATTTCCCTTCCTTTATATATAACACAAACTTCATATTCTTTTGAATACATATTATGTAAACAAGTAACAATATTTTTTACCACTAGGTGGTATCAAAGCCTGGAAAATTGATCATTACTTACCATTTTTTCTAGTAGACCACAGTTTTATTCAGATTCCTGTCAAAAACTACCTAGATATCACACCTACTCAGATGCCACTTTTAACAAGCCTATTTTACTTTTAATATGTGTAAATGAATATGTAAAAATCTATCAACACATTTCAAACCTTTCTTCAATTGGAACTTGGAAAAATTATCAGTAAGCACCATCTTCCACATTAAATACATCACCAGCTGGGGACAAAATTAGTTCAGAAATTATCACTTGATTAAAATTACAAACATTAGCTCAATTTGCAATTTATTAAGACATAATTGGAGATGCAAATTCCAGTTTGTCTTTATCCAATATGTTGAAGCCAGGTACATACTTGCCATTAATCCACACTCTGCAGCTACAAGACAAGTAGAAGAAAACAGCGTGCTCTGACCCTGAATTAGAAATGTCCATGATTCCAAAATGATAGAAGTAATTAAAAAAAAATACACATACCATTTATTTTATCAACTCAGAAAAGGAGCAAAACCACACACTGTGACGTAAGAAGCCACAGTGATTTCTATTGTACTGCTTTCAGCAGAACTGCACAGACTGAACTGCAAAACAAAACCGGATTCAGTCAGCTTCAGCTTCAAGTACATGCTTCAAGAAAAATAATTTCCCCACTGTAGTTTCATGGAAAGGTTAGTCAGTTCTAAAGTACACAAGCTACCTACCACATCCACAGTCCTTCCAAGAAAAATCTTGTGACTTTTTCTAAACATCTGAAAAAAACCCCAGAGACTTTATGATCCTTTCTAGGAAGATGCCTTTACTGTACGTTTCAATAATAAGCAAAACAAAACTCTTGACAAAGCTGACAAGAAGCTAAAAGCATATTCTGCTGTCGTCTGACCTAGCAGATGTAACCAGCCAGCTTCAGTCTGTCAGATCCCCTAATCATTACTGGGATTTTTTCTCTTGAAAACATTGAAAATTCTAAGGAGACTTATTTTAAAATGTAAGTGATCAAACACACATACTGAAGGTGCTGCCATCAAACGCTCCAACCAAACCACAGGCACGCTGCTTTTCCTTAGTGCTCACTAGTTCACAAATCTTACTTCTGAGAAGACACACCTAAAAAGCCACAAAGAAACTCCTTGTGGTGTGCGATCACTGTGCTCTCAATGAACACTGATGACTTTGGGATGTCTGGGTGGGATTTTTTTGGGAGGGAGGCAGTCAGAGGGGAAGTCGTGGTGGTAGATTCTTCTCCTGTTTGCTTGTGATTTTTTGGTGCATGTGTTTGTGTTATTTATTTGGGGGTTGTTTCCTCATTCTTAAAAACAACCCTGCAACCATTTCTCCTACTATGCCATCAACTTTTGAAACTGGAGTGGGGTTTCCTCATCCCAGCAGGTATCACTCCATTTAGGGCAATGCACTCCAAAGCTGGCAGAGTTTACAGAAGTAATTAATAAATCTGATTGTCAGGTTTCCATCTAATCAAACCTCCTGCTTTAGTATGTTTTCTATAACTATCCATCTACCCATATGCACACACATGTATATGACACGTGTCACATCTTATTTAAAATTATGTTTAGAAAGGGATATTTTTGTATCTGAACCTTGTTTGAACCCTTGACAGAGAACACCTACTTAGACATAAAGAGTTAAACAGATTAACAACAAAAGTATGAATATGCATACTCAGTAAACTCACGTCTGTGATGAGTCTTTTGCTTAGAAATAAAATCTACAAGTTAGAAAATTTCATTTGACATAGATTAAAATTTAACTTATAAACAGATAATTCTACAGCTCCTAAAGTAAGTGTCATTAGCTATTCTTTTGTAAAATCTGCTTTCCTGACATACTGATAAATCACAAGCTTTCAAGGTTTTCAGACTATGACAGGTATCTCTCAATACAGATACTGAAAGACTCGGAAGCAGCTGTGCTTTTGTCTGCTAAATTATTCTGACATCTATCCCGGGATTTACACGTGACAGTCCATGCAAACAGTAAAAATACAGTTTTTTTTCTTTCTAGTTAACTGACATTTTCCTTAGGATGAAATCACTAAGATATCCTTGTCTACCTGTTTAAATATAACATCTTCTGCACCATTCTTTCAAATTAAAATTCTGAATGCCATACACCTCTAAGTATAGTAATCCTGAACAAACACAAATTCCCCAAAGGAAAAAAATTTACTACCTTGTGGAATATTAGTTCACAGCTTTTTTTTTTATTATGAAATAGAAACATGGACACATTTGGACATTCTCAATGGAAGTCATCAGAGAAAAGTAACTCTGGTAGATGGAATATTAAGGTATCTGAGTCTTGAGGAACCTTTTACTCTGGCAGTGTCCTTTTCAAGAGTTAGAGGTCGAAGATAATAACTAGCTACTGTAGGCATTCACGAACAGAGACAGCCTCCTCTCTGCCAGAAGTTACTAGATGTTACTTACACACGTTGCTCATGACCTCAATGTAGTATTAGAATAATAGAGAATGCTAAACATGAACACCTCATGTGGCACAAAAAAAATACACAATGTTTCAAGAGCACTGAATGTTTATTAAAAAGAAAAAAGAAAACAAAAAAGAAAACCCAAAACACTCAAATAAAATGGAGCAAAGCTGCAAGTTCTCATATTCAGTCACTTGAGTATTTACCCAAGTTGAGGGTTTGATTTCTTTCTATGAAGTCAAACCATATACAACTATAAAATCAAGCCACTTGGAGGGTAAAAAATGGACAACAAATACTGAGCTAAAACAAATATCCATCCTAACACACCAAGGGAGGGCATGATTATTATTAATACACTAATGAAAGATATCATTAGTTTGCAATGCAGTTAACTGTTACAGTAGTTTGAAAGCCTACACTCAGATTAAGAACTCCCTCATGAAAGCACATAGAATGATTCTCATCTTTTGTAACACCCCCCCAAGTATGTGTATAAAATAACATAAATATTACTAATCTGCACTGTTAGATTTAATACTCTTGTTTGAATAGCTAAATTTTTCCAACATCTATACTTGTAAAAAAAAAAAACAAAAAAACCCAAAAAAACCCCTTAGACAACCAAACCCAAAATCCCACTAAACACATCTCTTTACCTTCCTCCTAGTTTGCTTACAAAGGGAATGCATCTCTCCTTTTCCTCACATCAAAGCCTATTTAGGCCCAGAAAGCTGTTATTTTCTTTATTACCTTTTTTTTTCTTTTAGGCATTTAAAAAAAAAAAATCTGTCTTGCTGTCTTTTATATTTTATTTAAAGAAATAGAAGTGCTAATGATTTTTTATATATAAAGTCTGATACTATGCTTTTTCTATTTTGTTGAGCAATTAAAAATTAGATCAGAAAACAATAACTTTATCAGTAGATTATGTGAGCTTTATAAAAGGAAGTAGCAAACAAAAATTCTTTAAAAAGCACAATTCACATCCACTATCAATGTATTTTGTTTTTATTTTGAAGGAAACAAAAGACTTCTCACTCGATGCTGAACAAATACTCTAAGAATCTATTTATGAATGCATAAACTCTGTAAACATCAGGAATCAAATCATTTTCTCTACCTACTCTCCTTATGTGTCTCTCTAGCAATCTGATGTATTTTAGTACATCCCATTTTCAGAAAAGAAAAAGAGGTAGGAAGAAAGCAGAGAGGAAATGTTTCCTTTCATGTTTGAGAACATTATCCATAGCAACATGCAAGTGTAACAGTTTTTAATTCTGCACATTTTTGTAAAAGTAACATTCAGTCAGCAAATTTTTGGCTCTACAGATGCCATCATCCACTTCAAGAGTCATTATTCACCAATTCTACCCAGTATTTTTGATCGCTGGATGCAAATGTGGTAAAAGAAATCTAATCTACTCCTCCCTCTCATTTTCCCAGAGTTCTCATTAGGAAACATTATTTTACTGTCACTGGAAACTGGTATTAGCCATGCATTATTTTCTTATGCAAAATACAAAC